CTTAATAATTATAGACCGACTTTACTTATTCTTGATCTCCAGGATTCCATCATACTTAATTTTAAAACTGTGTATAGCATTTGCCTTCAGCACCTGTGCATGTGTGCGCGTGTGCATGTGTTATTTGAAGTGAGGCACGCAACACCCGGACTTCAAATATGTCTGAGGAGAAAGTTGAGCGTGAATGTATCAGGAGTAAGACATTGCCTTGTAATACAAGGCAGCAATCTAGGAATCCTCCGTCAAGCCAAACCTCGCATGGAACAGAATCTCCAAACTACATGCTATGCTTCCATCCAGAGCGAAAGTGAATGGTGACAGAGATCATGGAATGTACAGATTGTGTGTGAAAGTTCCTTAAGTGTTTCGAATCTTGTCTTTGGCTGTCACACATGAAGTCTCCCATACATTTCCTAGTATTACACTCTCTATTAGATAAGTGCGATATAATTGTGGGTAAATTGAGCACTGAAAAAGTGTTCAGAACACGAAATTAGTTATGCTATACCGATACTTTTCTTATATTTATTTTTATAAAGTTTATACCAATACCCAGTTTTCAACCGATACCGACATACTAGATTTTGCAGCCGAAGCGGCTAGTTGTACCCCGTATTTATCTTGTAGATAGTAGCGCAAGAGCATATGGATACACTAAAGGCTTAGGATCTAGGTTCCAAAGGGTTAACAGGAGTACAGCTGAATTTAGATCTACAGTTAACTTGTCAGTTGCAAGGAGACTTCGGAGATTTATGTTCGGTATCTTATTTTAATTATCAAGATATCTTTGACATGCCACATAAGTTATTATACTATTGCTATATTCCTCAATAACTGGATAATAAAGCACATAGTGTTCAAGAAAGTAACCATAGGGCTGGCCACATTGCATTTGGTTTGATCATCCTGTGTGTGTCTGCCAAACTGCCGGAGTTACTTGTAACCAAGCTTAAGCCTGGCTACTACATCAGTCAGTCTGTTCACATTGCAAGTTGCTCTGTAAGTTTACTTATCTACGTTCATGTTATCATAGTGAATGATAGATCTACTGTGTGTGTATGTACGTATGTGTACTACTCATCTGCACTTGGTTACAGGGCTCGAGTTTTAGCTCCTGACCCCACCTCTCGACTTGACGCTCGCCAGGTTCACTCATTCGGAGCCTCGTGGACCCTATCGTACCTGCTCGTAAAACTATGTATGGAGTCTGCCTCCATCACTTCGTCGTCGAGTCATTCCACTTCTTGACCACCCTGAGACTGAAGAACTACTACACAAAATGCACGCACCTACGCATGCACCCACCCACCTACACACGCACCCACTACCCACCCACCTACACACGCATCCACCCACCCACCTACACACGCACCCACCTACACACGCACCCACCTACACACGCATCCACCCACCCACCTACACACGCACCCACCCACCTACACACGCACCACCCACCCACCTAACACGCACCCACCCACCTACAACGCACCCACCCACCTACCACACCACCCACCTACCACCACCACCCACCACCACCACCCACCCACCTACCCACGCACCCACCCACACCACCCACCTACCCCACCACCCACCACCCACCCACGCACCCACCCACGCACCACACACCACCCCACCCACCACACCACCCACCCACCCACCCACCACCCACCACACCCACCCACCCACACCCACCCACCTACACCCACCCACCTAACACCCACCCACCTACACACCACCCACCTACACCCACCCACCTACACACCCACCCACCTACACCCACCCACCTACACACCCACCCACCTACACACGCACCCACCTACACACGCACCCACCTACACACGCACCCACCTACACACCCGCCCCGACCTACACACCACGCCCACCGACCTACACACCACGCGCCCACCGACCTACACACCAGCCCCACCGACCTACACACCACGCGCCCACCGACCTACACACGCACGCGCCACCGACCTACACACCACGCGCCCACCGACCTACACACCCACGCGCCCACCGACCTACACACCCACGCGCCCACCGACCTACACACCCACGCGCCCACCGACCTACACACGCACGCGCCCACCGACCTACACACGCACGCGCCCACCGACCTACACACGCACGCGCCCACCGACCTACACACGCACGCGCCCACCGACCTACTCACCCACCTACGCGCCCACCGACCTACTCACCCCACCTACACACCCACCCCCACAACCCACCTACACACCTACCCCCCCACACACCAACCCCCCCTCCCCCACACCCCCCCCCCCCCACACCACCAACCCCCCCCCCCCACACCACCAACCCCCCCCTCCCCCACACCACCAACCCCCCCCTCCCCCACACCACCAACCAGCCCAAACACTCCCACCCACCCCTACCTATCTACCTACACCCACCTACCAACTTACCTACACACCTGACTGTTGACATGTCTTAAGGGTTGTCTGCTAGTTTTTGACAGAGTATCTTGGGGATGGAAGTAGAGATACAATGATGTCTCTCTTAGAACAACACTACACTCTCACTGTTACAGATTTTCTAATGTTTTAGAAAGGCAGTAACATAGATGTGAGAACGTCACGATTATTGTGGAAATTTTGGTGGCAGTTCCCAGGCTTGCTATGTCGCTCCCACCATTACCATGCTGGATCGCACCACACCTCCCACTTGTTTATCCCACCACCCTCACGCTCTACAACACGTCACCATAAACATAATTTATCTCTCTCTGTTAGACTGAATATACCCAGAGCCCATCTCCCCAAACTTAACACATCTTCACCATTCTCACTATGTACATCCTTTCCTTCTTCCCAGTGGTCATATTCACAGTCACTCTCCTAATCCTAGGACCTACACTCCACAAAAGTATTCCTTAAATAATCGCCTTCCTTCCATTTCAGCACAGTTGTGCAAAACTTTGTACCCCCCTTACCATTCTTTCCGTGAACTATCCGACCCCCACGCCCTGTCACTCACACTTGCTGACCCCCCACACCTAAACCTTTTCTTAGTAGTGGTAGTAATTAGGGTTGAATTATCGACACTTTGTTAGGTAAATGAACACAGATGCAACTAATATTACTTTTTATTGTGCCTTCCATATTAAATATTTATAGAACATGACAAACTAGCTGCTACTCTACTAGACCTGTAGGGAACCAAAGCAAATAAGCACAGGAATGTTGAGACATGAAAGGTAACTAAAGAAACCAGAGAAATAAGTAGAAAAGCTAGGTATGATTATGCATCTAAAAAGAAGCTGAGAAAAAATTTGGAAATGGTATAACAGAAAAGGTCTGTTAAATTTCTAGGAATTTCACACAAGCTCAGACAGAATTAGAGCTGCATGAAGTCTAAGAAGGTTTTGCCTATCCTACTCGTCTAAATTGGCTAAAGTTTTCAGCCAATTCAGACGAGTAGGATAGGTCATCAGTGTTTTAGGGAGATGTGGGACTACCATTATGGTACTCCCACATCTCCCTAAAACACTGATGACCTATCCTACTCATCTGAATCAGCTGAAAACTCTAGCCAATTTAGATGAGTAGGATAGGCAAAACCTTCTTAGACTTCATGCAGCTCTAATTCTGTCCGAGCTAGACTATAGGGACCAAGTATATTCCACAGCTGTGTAACTATTGTAAAGAAAGTTGGTGCAACTATCATCAGAGATTGTGTTTGTCTAGGGACCTTTCAATATTCTGGGGCAAGAGCTAACAGAAACATCTCTTTGATGGGTAGATGCGATGCCCATTGCCTTCATCATTCTGTTTGCTTCCAAGTCTTTCACAATCCTTATATGTACAGAATAATAAGATTCATTTAATCGACCCCATTTATTACAACTCTTTAATTTTCACACTCTGGCAGTATCTCTTAATTCACCCCCTCCCCTTTTATATTCACTCCATATAATGCTCTTTCCCATCCCCCTTCTTGGGAACATTGATGACACCACAGGGAAGGGGCTGAATCCTCTCAAAACTATGTGATAATGCTGCTTCAGAAGTTTCATACTTCCCCCCTTCCAACCAGACAGCCATCCCAAAGCCCCAGTATAGAAATTATAGCCCCTCTCCTGCTTGGATGGTACTGTACCAGTGATTCATCATCGCTGCTTCCACCTTCCAAGCCTGAAAGCCAACATATCTGCTACAAACTTGCACTTTTTTTTTTTCTTTCTTGAATATTTTGTCACATTATAGGGTTTAGGGTTTAGTTCTGATTGTAATAATTTGTCACATTCTCCAATGCTGTGGCAGTGCAAACATTCACCAATGGAATGAGGTATGAGGCTGCTTTTCCACAGGGTATAATTCAAGGGCATTTACTAGTTGACCAGCATTTCCACAGCAGATACTGGGTTTGAAGGTGCTAGTTTCTTGGTGCTATCAATATGATTTATATATTTTTCACTTAAGGTATGCACGGAATTCATAACCAGTACAACCATTCACGACATCGCTCTTTCTCGCAACTGTAACATGTGAAAGACTGTTGCTATCACCCAGAAATAGGGAAGCCCACACACACATGCCCATATAAGTGCCACACAGCATGTGCAAGCATGTCATAGTATGCTTTGATCTGTTAGGATCATAAACAGGTCATGGTTTGATCAAGATCTTACCATATAAAAATTGTTCCAATAAGAGCTTGTTCTGCAATATGTCTCTTCTTCACTGTTGTCAAAGCATCCCACTTAATTTCTACAGTACATCTATAATACTGTATTCCTTTGCAAAAGCTTTTACTTAAATAATCCATGTTTACAACATTTAATACAGTTCAGTCTACATATATAGTCTCTACATTATTTGATTTAAGTCTCAAGTACAGTATCACATGTATCCCTATCTATGTTTGAGCTTCATCTTTTTTTTTTTTTTATCTGTAGTCTGTTTTAATAGAGCTTTTGGGTGAATGTATATTACTAATAATTCTAAGAGTAATTGATGTCTGTTTTGCATTGGCAGGTATCTCATCACCCTCCCATTGTGGCACAGTTTGTGGAGGGCATTAATGGTTGGACCAGTTGGCAAGAGTTCTCCATGTCATCCAAGTTCCGTGGCAAGTACCTTCAGATCATCCCCCTTGGTATTGCTCATCTTAAATTTGATAATAGCGGTGAGTTGTAACTACCTCTTCACAATTTCATAGCATTAAATAATGTTTAATAATAACCCACATGGAGAGAAATACTAGTCTCCATGTGGGTTATTATTGACAAGTGTTCTTTATACTTTAGTTATTCACCATTAAATGTATAGAATGGGCTGACTGGAGTATTGCATGGCTTCATAGAGTTGTATGTGCTGATTTTCCTTAAAGCATGAAAATTAAAGTACATGTAAAACATATGAAAACAAAGCAGGATAATCTCTTGTGAAAATGGTTATCTTGATCTTTCATTGTCAGATGAGCAGGATTTAACTATTTACAGTGTAAATATAAATACTTGAATTTTTCAGATTTACTGAGTATTTTACAAGTTTTTTTTACTTGATGAATTGTTTTCAGGCAATCACTACACTTGGAGAAAGGTGTCCACCACTGTTCATAATATGATTGTTGGGAAACTTTGGTTAGACAACCATGGAGAGATGGAGATCATTAACCACAAAACTGGAGACAAGTGTTGTCTTAAGTTCATTCCTTATTCTTATTTCTCTCGGGAAACTCCAAAGAAGGTACTGTTTGTTCTTTATTTTTATGTGCAACTGCATGTTGCAGTGTATTGTGTTGCTCAGCTCTCTTGACTTTTTGCTGATCATTTACAAAAGCTCTTTTCTGTATCTCTCTTCAGGTGATCTAAATAAGCTTAATGCCAAATATGGAAAATAGAATTTTGAGTGGTGGTGTAAGGAAAGTAGGACTGAATTTTATAAGAATATAAAAACATAAGAAAGAAGGAACAATGCACCAGGCCTACTGACCCATGCAAAACAGGTTCATGTCACCCCCTGGCTTAGAACAATGCCCCTTCCACTTAAGGAAGGAGCACAGCATCAGACCTAGTAGCACAAGTTAGTTAGGTCCAACTCACACCCACCCACACCCACTCCTGTATTTATCTAACCTATTTTTAAAACTACACAACATTTTCGCTTCTGTGACGGTACTCAGGAGTTTGTTCCACTCATTCACAACTCTATTACCAAACCAGTGCTTTTCTATATCCTTCCTGAATCTGAATTTTTCCAACTTGAAACCATTGCTGAGAGTCGTGTCTTGGCTGGATATTTTCAGTACGCTATTTGCATCAACTTTATTCATTGCTGCTTTATGGTATATAACATTATGGCATAGCCCACTATCAGGCTGAGTGTAAGAAAGATTGAGCTCTGTAATAAATTTTAATGTTCAGTATGTGTATACAGGAGGGTCCCACTTGTACGGTGGGTTTAGTTCCAGGCTATTGCCATAAAGTAAATCACCCTTTGTTTTCCCTTTTTAACCTTTTCAGGGTTTCGGCCATACTAGTACGGCTTACGAGCCGGGGTTTTTGACGTACTAGTACGCCTAAATTCTAGTGCCCTCAGATCTAGTGAGAGAAAGCTGGTAGGCCTACATATGAAAGAATGGGTGTATGTGGTCAGTGTGCATGGTATAAAAAAAATCTTGCAGCACACAGTGCGTAATGAGAAAAAAAACTTTAACCATGGTTTTGGATTAAAACAGCGACTTTGCACTGTATTTTCGTATGGTATTTATTGTTGTATTCTAGTTTTCCTGGTCTCATTTTATAGAATGGAAGACATATTACAGAAATTGAGATGATTTTGACTGGTTTTACAATGAAAAGTACCTTGAAATTGAGCTCAAAGTAGCAGAAATGTTAGACTTTTACCAAAGTTCAAAAGTAAACAAATCATGCTATGAGTCCAATACACGTCAACTGGTGAGTCTTATATTCTTTTACAAGTGCGCTGATATTATTTATACCATTTCTACATCAATGCAGTAGTCTGCATAACAGTAAATCTTCAATTTTTTTGTGAGAATCAAAATTAAAGTGGAAAGCAAAAGAATGTAAGAGGGGCATGGGGACATGACTAATGAACAGAGGAAATGTTATTTTAGTGCCAGGAATGTCTTTCTTGTTTATTCTGGACCCTATTCAGAAATTGGCATCTTTTGAAATTTGTGTGAAATTGGCAAAATTACTAAATTCTGACCACTGTATTGGATAGTTGAAATCGGTAAATGGGTGGTTTCTTGTACTCATTCGATAGAAAAAATGGAGTTCTAGCGAAATAGTTATGAATTTTGTTGACAAGTCCACTGGAATTGGCCGAAAATAAGGCTCAAAGTGGGCAAAATCGCCGATGCGTAAACATCGTCGAGACCGCTAACTTCACGAGAGCATAATTCCGTAAGTTTTCCATCAAATTTCATACTTTTGGTGTCATTATGATCGGGAAAAGATTCTCTATCTTTTCACATTTTTTTTTTTTTTTTTTTTTTTTTTAAATTTGGCCGACCCTGAGAACAAGTCTCTGAGAGGGCCTGTCGACCCTGAAAGGGTTAAATGCATATAAATACCTGATAACATGTTTACACTATCATATGCATATTAGTTAGTGGTAGAACTAGGCATAAAAAAAATAATGAAAGAGTAAAATGTATATATGTACTCACACTTCAACATATAACACAGAGAGCCTTGTAGAGAAAGACATTTCCAGCTTAATTTTTTGGGCCACCCTGTTTGGCATGTTTATGATGGAAAAAGGGGTTATCACTAAATTCAGGAGGTATAACAAATATTTTAGGCGCATTCCGGACCTTCATCTCACATTTATGTGCACCTAAATTAGTGATAGGTATCAGCTTTTTTGTCAGTGTTGTCAATAATGTAGGTGGGCAGACTGATATATCCCCTCTTGTCAGTGACACAAGGATTTAAAAGTAGCCACGCTAGATTAACAAATTACTGTATTTTATTTCATGATAATCTGTATTTACAAGGATGTAACAATAGGGGCATGATTGAAGAAATACAGCCTCTCCTCACTTAAGGACGTACTCGTTTACCAATGCCTCGGACTTACGATGGGCTCTTTGACCAGTATTCATACCTAAATAATGTATATTAGAGCTGATTTCCTCTATTTTATTTATTTCAATATACACATGTACAGTACACTACTGTATAAACATTTAAAAATATACCAGAAATGTTATAAATGGTGCAAAGGTGACATTAAAACAATATCAAAGATGGTTGACACAAACTCACTACCATTATAGTATGCTCCTCACTTAGCAACGAATTCGTTTCACGATGCAGTCTTAGGAACGGAACTCCGCTGTTAAGTGAGGAGAGGCTGTAATATATTTTTTAACCCTTAAACTGTCCAAACGTAGATCTACGTTTTTCAACATTTGAAAGTATGTAAAAAACGTAGATCTTCTTGGTTTTTTTTACATTTGAAAACGTGTAAAAAAACTGATCTATTTTTTTTTTGTTTTTGTAAATGTGTAAAAAAAAACATAGATCTACTTTTGGAACACTATGCATGTGAATGTAGATCTGTTTGGACAGTTTAAAGGTTAATAAAAAAATATTCTCTACCATACAGGTTACAGGATATGTAGTAGACAACGAAGGTACATTTAAGTGGTTCATCACGGGTATGTGGGATGAGAAAATTGAAGCGTGTCGTGTAACTTCTCAGTCCATGCGAGGTGGCAAGCCAACGTATGAGACTGGCCCTCCTAAAGTGCTCTGGAAGAGGAACACAGTTAAGTATGTGTTAGTCGTGTCTTTTTAAGCAAACTTCAAACTTGAGATATTATTATTATTATTATAATCAAGGGGGAAGCGCTAAACCCGGAGGATTATACAGCGCCTGGGGGGGGGATATGTGGAAGGCATTCAGGCTTAATTCGGGGAACTGGAGCACAGATCCAATTCCCTAAATCAAGAGCCCCTCACCAACATCAAGGAACCTTCCTTGAGGGGGAAACTTGAGATAGATTCATGCATGTTAAAAGAATCCTGAAATACAGTACCATGTTATTTCCAGTTAAAAAATGCATGACAAGCTACATTCCTTTCTCTCATAATGAAATCATAAAGATTTATTATTCATTTAAAAAGTTGCCAGAATCGTCTTCTAAGAAATTTAATTTCTTGTCCTGTTTTCTCTCACATTCCTAGTCATTAACCAGAAAGTTGAAGCAGATCATAGCCATATAGATATTGAAAATATTTCCCAATGTCTTGCTCAATATATGGAAATTTTCAGTCCTGAAGCAGAGAGATACTATAACTTCACTGAACTAGCATGTCAGCTGAATGAACCAGAAGAAAATGTAGCCCCTACAGATTCTCGGAACAGACCTGACCAGAGGCTAATGGAAGAAGGTAACTGGGAAGAAGCAAATTTAGAGAAACTTAGGTTAGAAGAGAAACAGCGAGCAACTCGGCGTAAACGAGAAGCAGATGCAGAACTTGCAGCAAATGAAGGTAAGAATTATCTGCACTAGTTGCACTGGTATATTGATTAAGGAGTTCAGAGTGCAGTAGTCATTTTTTTTTTTTACACAGTGGCTGTCTCCCACCAAGGCAGAGTAATGAAAAAAAAAAAACTTTCACCTTCATTTACAATATTACTGTCTTTGCAGAGCAGCGCATATACGACAGTTTAGATGTCACTCTAAACAGTAGATATCCCAAACCCCTCCTTTAAAGTGCAGGCATTGTACTTCCCACCTCCAGGACTCTAGTTCAGCTAACTGGTTTCCCTGAATCCCTTCACAAAATATTACCCTGCTCACACTCCAACAGCATGTCAAGTCTCAAAAACCATTTGTTATATTCATGGGGGGAGAATGTGAGGTAAGCAGGTTTTAGTCAAGAACAGGGAGGTTGGAGCCAGTTCCTTGAAGCAAGAGTCCCCTCACTTGCATCAAGGAACCTCCCTTGATGGTAATTAATGTGTAGCTTCAGTTATGTACAATTTAGAACATAATAGTAATACCATAGCTTATAAAATCTTTGATTTGCTTTACATTTCTTCAACTGTTGGCGTACTGTAATGTGTTTCAAATATGAATGCCAGGATTCTGTTTGTTAATTATACCTTATAACAAAAGAATTTGAGACGATTTTTTATTTTTTTTTTTTAACAGGCCGAGAATACCCAGCTTACAGTCCAACTTGGTTTAGAAAGTTAACTGATGAAGCAACAGGAGCCCTTATCTTCAGATACACTCATGAATACTGGGATTGCAAGGAGCGACAAGATTGGTCCAGATGCCCTGATATCTTCTAGTAACCAGAAATCCTCTAGTACCTGCCTTATTACTTACCAACTAACACCTGCCAAATCATTGATGGCCCTCGAGAGGCAATGTTGTCCAGCACATCAAGAAGGTTCCAATATGATTTGGAGCTACATTGGTGGGAATGTATTTTATCTGTTACTGTGGTGATATATGACAGAATTATGTTCCATTTCTTCACAGCTTGGTCCTTAAACTCCATATGTGATATTTGTAACAAGTCACATCTTTAGCAAAATTCATAAAAGTCTAAACTCACATGCTCAATGTCTTCAAGGCCTTGCTGTTTCTATAAAGAAATTTGGATGTATAACAGCAAATACAATACTGATGTTTGCAGAGCCCACAGTAAAGCTCATATTCACTGTAACAGTGATATATTTACTCCATATCAAGGACTCAGAATTACCTTCTAAGGCTCTAGGTGCTAATGCTCTGTGTTTTAACTGCAGTCTTGAGGTACTTGTGATCCTATTATGGCAGAACTGACTAGTACTTCAGGTAATTTTTATGGTGTATAAAGTGCAAGAGTGATAGAAAATTTAAAAAATTGTGGTGCTGGTATGCTGGGCCAGCTGTAAGCTGAACATACATTACCAGTGGACATACTTTAGTTTGAGCACCAAGTTTTGTAGTTGTAACATAATGTGTGTTTTGTTCATAATGCATATTTTATGGTCTCAGCTATTACTTGGTTTAGTTATTGTAATTTATAATTTCTCAGTTATGGGGCTTGTGCAAACTTGTTCAGTAATCAACTGCCCATTGTACAGTTATATTTTTCACTAGGATTCCCAGTTAATAAAATTATTTCTCTTAAAAGGATAGAATCTATTGGAAATCATTTATATCAGCTATTATTATACAGCCTGTTTTGGAATTATCAGGACTTACTTTTGCTCGTCAAAATTTAGATATTCAGGAGGCTAGCTATACGAGGAAATATTTCTTAGATGTATTCTTGCCGAAACAGTTATTGCGACAACCTAATAAATTGGTCAATCAAAGGAATGACTGTCAATAGCCAATCACTCTTTAGCAGACAAACCTTTATAGTTCGTCGTAAGGTACCAAACCGTTGCAAATACAGAAATTCAGACTAGTTATGTGATCACAGTCAAGGATGCTATGAAATTGTTAAATCTGTTGGAGTAAAGCTTTTCTGGAATATACGAGTAAATGTTTTTCAGTGACTGAAGACAGTTAATTTACGACAATACTTTAATAGTTCAAACGTTGTAATGGGCAAGCAGGTTAACTTAAATTAACAAAGAACTGCAGATAAGATAGCTCACTAGCATTTCGCTTTACCATATTTTAAAAATATTGAGATCACATAGTAGATAAGAGATCGACCACTCTAGCATTGGTAGTAGTACTTTACAACTGATATCCATACACCTTTAATTTTTGAAGAATTCACCATAGACAAAACATAAGCCCTTAATCCAGGGAATGCATCCCATTTTAACACATTCTGTACTTAAGAAAGCAACAATGCAATCGTGTTTGCTACATGCTGGTGATCCTTACTTCAGTTTTTAGAGTTGTTACTTGTTTGCTTGTATATTTAGAATATATTTTTGGATTTCCTTAGTGTAAATTTCCTATTTGTCACTAGATATAACAGATGGAATCCGCATAACTGGATATGTATATATATATATGTAATATAAGACCTTATATGCACATAAAATATATTCACCACTTGTTGTAGGCCAGTCTACTGCATTCATTCATTTTGAAGTGTTTATTGCTAACTCTCTCCATGAGGTGGGGAGAGTGGTGTACCTTATTTTTACATTCTTCTTTATATTTTTGGATTCCTTTTCATAAACTAAAAATCTTTATCATGAAAATGCCATGTTGTACAAGGAACTCTGTAAGATGTGATGAATTATGATATATTACTGTATAAGCACAACTGTATACCATATACAGTATCTGCAAAATTGGTTTCAACAGCCATTAGCTTCATTTACAAACTTGTCATTGTTTTTTTGTTAAGTAAGACTGTCATAAGTTGTACAAGGAAAAACTAAACTGCAAATTTACAGGCAAAAAGGCAAGAATAAGATGACAGCGGTAGAGCACGTTGAAAATGTATACTAATCCATCATGAAGCGTTGCAATCAATGTTCAAGAAAAGAAGTCGTCAATAGGAGACCCTTAAATATTTAGCACTTAAATTTATTATATTACTAATAACAGAATGGCCTAGTGTTTGCACAGGAGGAATAGGCGAGCTGAAATACAAATGCATCAAATACATTATCTTTTTTAGTTAGAATTGTGTAAAGTGTGAGAACATTACAGGCAATTTGCAGAACTTTTCTCTTTTAAAGCTTTGTGGGACTAGGTTCTCTATTCATAATTGGGAAGCAACTGCAAAACATGATCATACTGTGAATATCAAAAAGAATCATGCCAGATAATTAGTAATATGACAGAAGTGTAAAAGAAGAGCAACTGATAAAAGACAGATTTTAACATGCTTAACACTATATAAAAATAAAAACAATAATTTAGTGATTTTTTTATATTAAAGTTACTTTTCATCATCATGATAGTGAATATCTTTATTTGCTACTAGTATACCTTAGTTGAGAAATTCTGTATATATTGTTAAAGACAATCAGTTTTTTATACTGTTACGACTTTTGTAAAGTGAAAATTTATTTTCTTTTATCACCATTATCAAGACAAGTCTTTCAGTATAATTTATAATATGAAAACTTAATTTTCTTTCCTAAATTGTTATTGCAGTATATAAAAGACCTAACACAAGACCATTGTGATTGTTAATCCCTTGGATGTGGCCAGCCGTCCTTACTCCACATTCTGTTACAAGTCGGATTCTATTGGTCACTAAAAGATAATGGTAACCTGACACTCTGCAGGTTCATTTTTTCCTATTTTTATTTTTTTAACTGAACCTTACGAGTACAGGTTACAATTGTTTTCCATGGAACTTCTTGAAGTTTACAACTAACTCTGCAGCTTCATCCATTTAAAATTGTTTGCTGTATATTTTAGTATGACAGTGAATTTTGTTTTAAATAAACTGCCCAAAGAAGCTTTTGTTGAATGATCCATACGAGTTTAGCACTTTTTTTTGTGAATATAATAATAATCCCATTAATTTACTGTTGAAAAAAATTTCAATGTTTGTAATATTTTCTAAAAACAAATGAAGTAAATATAGCTACTTCATATACATGACGAGTTACTCAATTTATGTAATATACATAATCATTATCTGGTCATGAACCGAACTAAGGTTCCAAGATGGAAGTATGAGGATCACACTGAGTCTTCATTTGCTGAGCACATTAAAGTACTTGAATATACAGTATTTCTACAGATATGCAAGTGGTTGTTATTGGGGGGGGGGGTCTAAATTTTCCCAGAATGATTTCAAGGTGTGTTGTTGCATTAATGCACCTTGCATTTTACCCAATGACAACTGGAAATGAAAAATATTCTTAACTGTTAGATACTTTAACAGTTGTAAGCCTATTTTTTAATATTTTAAAAGATGTTTTGCCATCTAAAGAAGCTGCCAGTCTTTACTGTGAGTAGATTAAGACAAACCGAATTTTATTTGTGTTGGATATAGTGCTGCATTCTTTCTTTTGCCAACTCTAATATCAAATATGTTAGCTCTGAGAAAATTATGAATTTTGAAATGACATTAGAATGGTTGCCCTTGCAGAGGATAGTTTGCCTGCTTGTGATAAATTGAAGTTTTAGGAGATTAGGACAGCCAAGAGCTCTTTAGGTGATAGAGCTCTGCAACAGAGAATAGAGCAGTTGTCAGCTCTGTAGACATAATAGTACACCTTGTTTAGGGACTTCATCTGTACATATTCCCATTTTAGGGATATGTGCTGACCAATGTTACAGTTCAACCTTATTAATTCTGTACCTTTGCTTTATTCAGTGGTCTAATTGGTTGAAATCAACCAGGTAAAAATTTGATAATCCAAAATATGAAGGCTTATTTTACATAAACTCCTGGTCAAAATTAATGAGGTTGAATTGCAGTGTTAGAATCTTAGGTTGTTTGAATGAGATTATATACTGTTGTTAAAGCTTTATATGAGGAGCTCTGTCTCTTTTTATTTTAAAGTTGGGCTTTACATGAACTTTATAAAAAGAGTGATTGGCAATTTATAGGTACTGTACTTTGATTATAGTGTTTATAAAAAAAAATTGCACAGTTTCTTTAATCAGTACAATGCCTAACATTTAACATACTATGGCAGTTCCACCAGCAATATAGAATTGTAAGTGGACATTGCCTCAGTCAGATCTCTTGTTGAAAGGCAATATTAAAGACTGATTATTAGCACATTATTCTTACATACTGTATATTATTTGTATAATGCATTAATTGCTTTTGTGATACACAAGATAAAATAAAATGGGAGACTAGTATTTATGGATAATGTTTCTCATTTTCCTGCCAAGTGACTCGTACATTTAATAATAATAAAGTGCTAAACTCGTACAGATAATTAAACATTATTTACTAATAATAATGCTGTATGACCCTTGTTGGTTTACCACTTAGTTTTGATTATAATACTGTATAGTGAAATGTGCAATGATTAACAGAATTATCGTATCATATATGGCTATTAGAAATGTAAATTATATAACATTTCTAGGTTTGTGCATTATTAACCAAATTTGTAAAAAATAAAAGTACACCATAGCACCAGCATTATTATTACAATCAAGTGCTAAATCTAGATGGGTCTAGCACCAGTGTTAGCTAGGAATGCTAACATGGTAACCATGCAAAAAGCCTTAAAGCAAAAGCACATTATTAGAGCTTCTACAGCGCTTATTGATTATAATAATTATGGCTTCTAACATACACAGGAAGACCCCTGCTTCACAACTTTCAAGAATTTTGCATAAAATAAATTACATTCACAGCCCCTTTAAGGGCTGTCTCTTGCTGCAGCAAAGCAGCTCTTAATCCAAGGAACTGGACCATTGTCCCTTTCCTCTGACCTCTTAGTGGGAACTTTCCCTCCTTTTGCAAAATAGAGCTCCTAAACAGAAAAAGGGTCACTATTAGACCTATTGTTAGCTTCCACTGGTAGTGCCAAGATGGTAATGTTCCACCTGATGGAAAGTGAATTGCCTTAAGACATTTCAGGTGACCCAGTAAGCACAGGGAAGTCATCCAACAAGTTCTCCGATGACATGTTTGATGGCTTCCCTTCACCCTGAGTTGCCTGTATGACAACTGAAGGTGTAGAACTCCTGGTGTTCTTTGCAGTTCACTCGCCACCATTATTAACCGAATGTTGGCAAGAAATGTATTAATCTATGCCTGGAAAATCATGGGGGAACTGGTCCCAAACCTGAACATTGAAATTACTCCTTACGACAACAAAAGACTTGGCAGGTGGAACAAAATACCTCCACTAAAATTCAGGAGGTAGGAGTACATGCTTCCCTGCACTCTTTCTATCCTCTCCTGAACTATGTGACCCTTGTGGGTTTAGCACTGTTTTGATTATAATAATAATACCCTCCCCAGATGCAGAGTTAATCCCATCTTTTACAAACTTTTTCTCTTGAGACACCAGACATTACAGTTACCTCTTCCCTTAATAACTACCAATGTACAGGTACTTGTTCCTATCCTTACTTCCTATCTTTCATCCTTCCCTTTACACAGTCTTCAGTTTCTCTGACCCCATAAGACAATTGAGCCCATATCATATCTACAAGACACTGTTTCAGAAATGGACTTTGATCAATATCAAATATATTATGGTAAATATTTAAAAATAATTATGTAAGTATTGCTAGTGTAGGTCATGCAATGTGTTACTTGGGCAAAATTGCTCATTCCAGTCACCATTCAGTGACCCAGCTCAAGCAAGGTGGACCTAACCTTAAGCAAGAAAAACCCACAGGACAGTCGTCCAAAGCTAATGTACAAACATTACACTTTGGCAACCTTTCTTTATCCTACAGGCCTGTTTCATTTACAGGTGCTATAAAAAGTCAGAAAAACAAAGTGGATAAAACACTTAGAGAAGAATAACCTACTGATTAGTAAACAATTCAGCTTTTGGTTTAGAAATTCCCGTACAGACATAAATATGCAGAGTGTATGACCCTTGTGGGTCTAGTGCTTAGTTCTGATTGTATTATTATTATACATACATAAATAAGATCTAATCAACTATTGGGAGAAAGATGGGCTTGTGAGAGTACAGGTAATGAGAAGGTATGGGTAGATTTAAGAATGCAATGACAGAATGTGCAGCAGAAGTTTGTGAATATAGGAGAGTGGGTGTGGAAAGGAAGATGAGCAATTGGTGGAATGATGAGACAAAGGGTATGGTAAGGGAGAAAAAGTAAGCATACGAGAGGTTTTTACCTAAGTGATATAAGGAGGGTGGAGTATATGGAGAGTAAAAGAGAGGTTAAGAGAGTGATGAGGGAGTGTAAAATGAGAGCAAGTGAAACTGGGGTGAAGTTTGATCAACAAATTTTGCCAAGAATAAGAAAAAGTTTTGGAGCGAGATTAATAGGCTGAGAAAGCCTAGGGAACGAATGGATTTGACACGTAAAAACAAAAGAGGGGAGCTGGAATTACTGGGAATATTTTGAGCTGTTAAATGTTTATGAAAAAAAGGGGGCTGTGATTTCATGTATTTGCCAGGGAGGTATAACTTCCTTTAGGTCTGAGAAAGTGCCAGATGCGAGAGTGGTGGAGGTGCTTGAGGCAGTGGGTAACTATAAAGGATAAAGCAGCTGGAATTGATGGAATCTTGACAGAAATGTTAAAAGCAGGTGAGGATACAGTTTTGGAGTGGTTGGTACTTTTGTTCAATAAATGTATGAGAGGAAAGTATCTAGGGATTGGCAGAGAGCATGTATAGTTTCTTTGCAAAATGGAATGGGGAACAAAAGTGTCACAATTACAGGGAAATGTATACTAGGTACAGTGTATGGTACGGTTATAACTGAAAGAATTAACCCCTTGACTGTCGCAACCCCCAATCCTGAGGTGTCTCCTGGTGTCGCAAAATTTAAAAAAAAAAAAAAAAACTTATGAAATGATAATCTTTTCCCGATTGTAATGACACCAAAAAAACGAAATTTGATGGAAAACTGATGGAATTACGCTCTCGCGAAGTTAGCGACCTCGGCAATACAGTGGACCCCCGCATAATGATTACCTCCGAATGCGACCAATTATGTAAGTGTATTTATGTAAGTACGTTTGTACGTGTATGTCTGGGGGTCTGAAATGGACTAATCTACTTCACAATATTCCTTATTGGAACAAATTCGGTCAGTACTGGCACCTGAACATACTTCTGGAGTGAAAAAATATCGTTAACCGGGGGTCCACTGTATTTACAAATCGGCGATTTCGCCCACTTTCAGCCCTATTTTTGGCTAATTCCATTGTTTCAGTCCACCAAACTCATAGCTATTTCTTTAGAACTCCATTTTTTCTATCGATTGAGTACAAGAAACTGCCCATTTACCAATTTCAACTACCCAATAACGTGGTCAGAAATTTGCAATTTGGCAATTTCATGAAAATTAAAAAATATGACAATTTCAAAATAAGGTCCAGAATGAACACTGCAGACATTCCTGGCTCTAAAATAACATTTTCTTTGTTCATCAGTCATGTCTCCAGGCCCCTATGATATTACTCTTGCTTTCTATTTTGAATTTTTATTCAAACAAAAAATAGATTTACTATTATGCAGACTACTGCAATACTGTAATAATTGTGTAAATAACATCAACCCATTCATGACTGCACATTAGAATGGCTAGTTGGACATTTATTGGACAATGACATCATTTGTTTACTTTTGAACAACGGCAAAAATCAAACATTTCCCCTATTTTGAGCTCCATTTCCAGGTTCTTTTTATAGTAAAATCAATCAAAGTCACCTCTATTTCTATAATATGTTTTCCATTCTATCAAATGAGACCAAGAAAACGAGAATACAACCATAAATACTACACAAAAATAGATCACAAAGTCGGCATTTTAATTAAAAAAAACGGTCGGAGTTTTTTTTTCTCATTATGCACTGCGTGCTCCAGGATTTTTTTTTATATGGTGCACACTGACCACACAGACCCATTCTCTCACATGTGGGCCTACCAGCTTTCTCCTTCTTGATTTGAAGCCGCTAGAATTTATGAGTATACAGTATATACGTCAAACACGGTACCTCGTATGACGTATATATACGGCCACGACAGTCAAAGGGTTAAGGATAAGATAGACAGCAGGGTCACAGATGAACAATGAGGCTTCAGAAAGGGTAGGGGGTGTGTAGACCAAGTGTTTACACTGAAGCAAATAAAGTGAACAATATTTAGATAAAAGGTAAGGAAGTTTTTGTTGGTTTCATGAATTTAGAAAAAGCATAAGATGCTGCAAGTGTATGGAATAGGTGGTAGGTTATTGAATGCTGTTATAAGTTTTTATGAGGATAGCGTGGCTCAGCTTAGGGAATGTAGATGGGAGACAGATTATTTTCCAGTAAAAGTAGGCCTTAAACAGGGATATTTGATGTCACCATAGTTGTTTAACATATTTAAATCATTATAATCAAAATTAAATGCTAAACCACTAGGGGTCATACAGCGCTGCAGCATACAGCCTCTCCTTAACAATGGAGTTCTGTTCCTGAGACCACATCGGCAAACGAATTCATCGCCAAGTGAGGAGCATACTATAATGGTAGTGGTTTTGTGTCGACCATCTTTGTCACCTTTGCATTATTTATAACATTTCTGGTATATTTTTAAGTGTTTATACAGCAGTGTACTGTATACTGTAATAAACAGAATAAGAGGAAATCAGCTCTAATATACATTATTTAGGTATGCAAATTGGTCAGAGTCTGTTGTAAGTCCAAGTCGTCGGTAAATGAGTACGTCACTAAGTGAGGAGAAGCTGTATTTAAAAATGGGGTTGTAATAGAAGTGAATGCTAAGGTGTTGGAGAGAGATGTATACCTAGAGGGGGTTTCGGGGGTCAACGCTCCTGCAGCCCAGTTTGTGACCAAGCCTCACAGTGGATTAGGGCCTGATTAGCCAGGCTGTTACTGCTGGTCGCATGTAATCCGACATAAGAGCCACAACCTGGCTGGTCAGGAAGTGACTTTAGGTGCCTGTTCAGTGCCTTCTTGAAGGCAGCCAGGGGTCTACTGGTAATCCCCCTTATGTATCTTGTGGAGGCGTTTGAACAGTTGACCTCTGACACTGTGTTGGTCCTTGGGAGTACTCAGTGCCCCTGCTTTTCTTGGGAGGGGGGGATGCTGCATTCTGTCAAGTCTTTGCTTCGTAGGAGTGATTTTCGTGTGCAATTTGGACTGCCTTAGGATTTTCCAGGTTTATCTTTCTTTCAACACACGGCCGTTTCCATCGGGGTT